ACGTAGAGTTGCCCATATAGCGCTGACTTTACCTGGACGTCGTCCTGCAGTTCCCAACATTCCAACATACACAATATCATCATCGCTACTACTATCCGCAATTTCGATATACTTAGTTGGTTTTGAAGTGGTTTTAAACTGAGGGGTAATTTTGGAATGATCGGATTTAGACAAAGAAAGGCAAACTGACCTGATATGACCCCGCTTGTTACATCCATGACAGATCGCGTCCTTGAAACGACACTTATCGGGTAGATGCCCTGATTTCCCACAACGGTAGCACCTTGCGCTAGTTTTTTTGGCATTTCGAGATTGTCTCGCTGTGAAACTATGTACCTTGGTTGGTTCAAACTTTCCTTGTTGTTGCAATTCAACAGCATCCCGTGTAGCGGTTTCCATTGCTATGGCCATATCACTGGCCTTCTTCAGCGTAAGATTAGTCTCGGCGAGTAGGCGTTTAGTTATATTCCCAGCTCGCAATCCACAAACAAGACGATCTCTGAGAGCTTCATTCAAATATGCTCCGAACTCACAATGTTCTGTTCATCGTCGTAACTCTGCAAGATAAGTGCTAACTGATTCACACTCTCTCTGATCACGCTTATGAAAACGAAACCGCTCAGCAATTACTAGTGGTTTGGGGGGGGCTAAATGTTTCCCCAGCGTTTCCACTAGCTCAGTATACGGCTTGGTACTCGGTTTATCCGGTGCAATCAAATTCCTAAGTAGGCCATACGTTTTAGGCCCTATTAAACTCAGGAAGGCAGGTACTTTCCTTTCCTGTATGTTGTTAGCCTCAAAATATTGTTCTAACCTTTCCACGTAAGTAAGCCAACTCTCGCTGGTATCGTCGAATGGGTCGATTCTGCCTATCAGTGCATTCGCCATATGTTGTGCTGCGATGGTACTCCAAAACTTTACATGAGTTGCCCACACAGATCGTGTATATTGACAATATGTATATGTTTAATATCTCGCAAATCAGTGATAAAAACTGTTTAATACATAAGTGGATTTATGTAATCCTCGTCGCCAGTTGTAGTGTATTCGCTCGGATAACCAACAGAGCAGTCCAACAAGACATTATCGTAGCTCAACCATTTTAATACAACAAAACGTATTCCCGCGCGTTCGCATATAATTAGCTCCGCGCGTATCGTACAACTAATTAGCATATAACATAAACAATAATAGTAGCAAGCCTATACTCAAATATGCTACAAATACAAAACCATCAAATTACTGAAACGATGATGATGTTGATGATAATAGTAATAGTGATAATAATATTATTATTATTTTATTTCATTTATTGGAAAAAGCACCCCGGACAAAAAAAAGGTGCCTCCTTCTTAATAGGGATGTCCCCTGAATAAGGGTACCCCTATTCAGGGGACACTGACCAAAAATATGAAACTGTCCCCTTAATAGGAGTTTTTGGCATGTTTTCGTATAATGATGACACAGATTCTTTATACAGTATTTTTATTTTAATTGACCTAAGAATGAGTTACAGTTTAATTATAACTAGTTTATAACAATAATTTACAATGCAAAAATATAATTCAATTAACATCTGAAATTAACATATATAAATTAAAACTACAAAATTTGTGTATGTTTCCGATATTGTGTCTTTATTGGAGTGCAATGTTAATGACCAAATATTCTTTTTTTAATATTGAGCTTTCTATTGGATGCACAAAATAGAATATTAATAGGTGCTACAAACTTAGAAATCAGGATGCAGGCTATCCGGATAGATTAGAATCCTATACCGTAAAACCTTGAATTGAAGCCCAGTGGGCTTAATCTTGAGATGAATCCCATCTCAAATTGAGCCTTCCCCCCGCCCCCTCTTTAGTTCGCAAAATTAGCCTTGAAAAGCCCATGGGCTTCTTTTCAAAATAGCATAGGCTTTTTTTTTCTAGATAGTACAGTACATACACTGTGCATGAATTTTAGAAAACAAAATAAATTAAAAACAAGCTTGGTTTATACAGTAGTTTAGGTGATTTAATGCCATTTAAATACACTCCATAATACAGATTGATGTTACACTGACCTTATTTATTGTTTAATTGAAGAAATTCACAAAATTTACAGCATTCATTTTAAAAAGAAGCCCCCTCTTTACTTTGCAAAAGTAGTCTCGAAATAAAGCCCATCTCGAAATGAAGCCTATCTCTTAAAGAAGCTCATTCAAAGTTTGCAAAAAAAAGAAGCCCAGGGCTTCAATTTGAGGTTTTACTGTTTCAGAATACACAAAACAAGAAATCTCCATGTTTAATGGTCAAAATTGGCAGTAACACATGCACTAAGCATCCAATGCCCATTTTTTTCTTATTTTGTGACTTCTGTAGTTGTTTCAAGAGGCCATAGTTGATTCTACGTTTCTTTCATTATTGGAACATTGTCAAGAATGTAGTTGTTTCGATACAATAAAAAAAATTATGCATTAAATTGTATTGATTTTACCATTTTTGGTCATTTTTTTTATTAGCCTTTATTAGCTATTGTTTTTAATAAAGTTTGGTAATTCCAATTGGTTTCAAACTTGGCAGAATATAAAATAGTAATAATAAGACAGGACCAAATTTTTTTTCATACATTTATGAATATTCTAATTGTTCATTTGCATAAGAGATATTTCACTAATCAGGTAATTTAAGCTAATTATCACAATAAATAAAGGTTGGTAAGACTTATTGATTTCAAACTTGGCAGAATTCAAGATAGTAATAATAAGATGGGGCCGTTTTTGGTAGGTGTGTGAATATGCTAATTGCTCATTTGCATAATTAATATTTCACTAATCTAGGATAATTATCTTGATAACTAAAAGTTGGTAAGTCTTACTGATTTCAAACTTGGCAGAATGCAAGATGGTAATATGAAGGCAGAGCATATTGTTTTTTATATGTGTGTGTTTAATAGAAATAGATGAAAGATATAATAAATATTTTTCTTTCACCATGTATTTAAATTTCGTTTTTATGAAATTGAGTATTATACTGATTCTTCTGTTTATCATATTAAATTATGCCCTATTATATTATGCCCTCACTCTTTAACTATCATAGTTCTTGAAAGAAAGCACATTTTTAGTGTCTGTTCACTCAAAAAAACTCCACGCACGCATCGCTATGCAAATGAAGCAAGGACAAAGCTGACGCGGCGTGTGAAGAACGTTTAGTTTAGTGTATTCCCTGCCAGTGGGCTTAGTTCACCAAACAAGAGCGACGGCTCACCGGTCCACACTTTAATCTGAGGGTACACCTATTCAGTGTTTAAGGCTCATGTTTGCAGCTTTCAGATGGGGCTTTTTGTTGACACTATTAAAGCATGCTCAAATCATGGAGGACATGCGATTGTAAGTTATTGTAAAAAAAATCTAATAAAAAAAAATAAAGTGTCTTAAAATTGGGAAAAATTTTGAATGCCAATATGCGATTCAAACTCGTGAACTTAGAACACATCGAAAACCGACCGTGCCATCCATGCGACGTGTCTTATTAGTGGCAATGGCATTAATATACAGTCCTTGCTAAACCCCCTTGGTTTGTTTTGTAGATGTAGGGGGGACCCTGGGGTTTAACTCAAAAAAGGGCCATGAACGTTTGTTGGAAATCACCTCTAGGTTATGTGTACAAAATTTCCTCTACATTCATTTAAAACTGGCAAAGCTTGATGCTTTTAAAGTTCTGGTAACAACAAGAACAAGGAGAGCAGTGAGGGGGTCCGCGTTGCGCAGACTAAAAAATTGAGCATGGCGAATGGAAAGTATCTTTTTCTTCTCAATAGGCACTACTTACAGTCAATCACTATGGCTGCGCAATCGTTTCTACCTTGAAGCAAGTACATTTATCTTTCATGGAATACCAAGTACATTAATATTTTGTACAAAAAAGAGTTTCAAATTTAATGAATCATTTGCATGAGCTTTAAGAGTATGGTATACTTCAACTTGAATTTCTAAAAGTCTGATAAAACTTGATAATTAAAATTTTAACAGATTATAATAAATTAAGTCATTTTAGGAATTGAGGGTTAACTCTTGAAAATCCAAAGTAAGAGTAATTTACAATTTTACTCTACCTCAGCAGACAAAATTATAATGAACACAGAACCAAATGCAACAGAAATATTTTGTGGAATCTGTTCCTAAAATATACACATAATACATATTAAAATTCCCAAAAAATCCAATCAGGGGAACATTGTTACTTTTAAAGATATTTAATGAGTTAAAATGAAAGGGTTTATCGCACAATTGCTGTGTTGAAGTATATAAAAGCCTGTTGTTGCTAACAACACATTGCATTTTAGCATCAAAGGGATCTCTGTTGCCAAGTGATCTCCTTCTCAATAATACCTCCATGATTTGATAGTTGTTGCTTTGCCAGCCATCCTCAGCTGAACTACTGTACATCTAGGATTTAATTTAGTTGTAGTTAAAACTTTGACTTTGTGAATATAAATTGAAGTTTAGAACAAAAACATTATAACAAAATTGGAATTGGAAGCACTGATCATCCTTGACAATGACAAAAACCTACTGTTCTCCCCTCCAACAAAAGAGGGCTAGTTTAATAATGAATACTTTAGACTACCAGTCAAAAATGGTGAACCTTCTGGAAAAAAAGAATAGGCCTATATATACCAAACTTTAAAAACATTCCACATCCAGGTGCATGAGAGAATTTGTGAGTATCATCAGTAGATGGAATATGATGACCCTATTCCCAAAACTACAAAAGATATCCCACGACAGACAAAATAGCTACTGTATGATTTATGATACACTTAAAATGCATGAAACTAACACCCTTTAAGTATGTTAATTTTTTCTATTCATCTTTGCTTGAAGACTCTACTCAGCGGTGTAATCCACTATTACATTAATATATAAAGTAAGTTAATAATTCAAAATCAAGTTCAGATTATTCTGTAATTGTACAGTTTTGTTTTTGTTTTTGTTTTTGTTTTTTTTTTTGTAGTTCAGTATGGTTCATGCATCATAAGTGATGACATGGAATGGGAGAGTCAGCTGGTGGTGGACTTAACTCAAAGAAGACCAGAGTTAAGGTTTGCTATCCTCAGACATTGGAAGTTGAGCAAACCTGAAACTATTAATGATTTAATAGCAAGAAGCAGGAAAGTGATCATTGCATTTTCACCAAAACCTTTGACTGAATATTCTAAATATGCGGCACACAGTGTTGTAAAAATGCTGGAAGAAAACATTCTTGATGATGCTCAGATAATACCAATCAAAATTTCAGAAGATTCTGTTGTACCTCCTGAGTTTGCATCATTTACTGTCATCAATACCAGTGAAGAGAACTTTGTTGATAAAATTTTGCAAGGCTTAAATGAGAGTGGTAAGTATTGCAGCCCTGCTATTTGTTGTTATTACCACCATTTTTTTGTTGATTATGCAAAGTGAGTAGATCAGTATCAAGACCAATATAACAGAAAGTAAATAAATCATGTATTAAAATGTAGCAGAGGTACACACTCTATCAAGTGCCTACTTGATTTATTATTACCTGTAAATTTTTTTTAATCAATTTTAATGCGCTTGTATGCATATAAATGTAATGATAGTATGATCATTGGTAAGAATAATATACTTGGTAATATTGATAATTATAATACTTATGATAATGATAGCAAGTTGAATGGCCGAGCGGTTAAGTCAGGGGTGCCGTAATCTACATACACTCTACTCATCTCGAAAGATGTGCTGGGTTCTTTAAAGTGCACATGAGCATTTGTGTACACAGGGCCTATGGTTTATAGTCCTTATCCGAGAAGCATGTTCCACCACCAGAATTATTGGAGCGAGCCGGCCACGAACCCTTGCCAATATTGTTGGTTATGGTCACGTTGCCCCTGCCTTAACCGCTCGGCAGTTTCGCTTGCTCAAAAGCTGATATTAACAGCTTTAACAATAGCAGCAACAGTATTACTTTTATCGATTAAGAACCTTGCTGTGTTAATGTGTGTAATAAATCTTTTTATCACTTTAAATTGATTGTTTACACAGTGAATCAGACATGCCAGCCACTCCGATTTTGGCGGAGTTATTCTGTTTATTTAAGCAAAACTATGCACTGCAATTTTTTGGGAAATAAACCACGCATACCCGAATAAAAATGATAATCCTATGATTTAGATAAGAACAAGACCACTTAATTTCGTCCTGAAAACAGCGCTCCACGGTTTACTGATTTCAAGAAAAAAAATTTCATTGGCCAAATTGATGTCAACAGTCAGAGTTGCACTGTATGCACTCTGAACCGTTTAGTGCACCACGTCTACTGATTTTGTAACAACGGTCTATTAAAGCACCATTTCTAAAATGGAGTCCGATGAGTGCGATATGGATGTAGGCCTAGGCAGGGTTCGAAAAATGAGTAGTAGTGTTGAGCTTCCTCCAAAAAAGAAGCTAAAACTCACGCAAACATGCAAGTTAATAATGGAAAGTATCCAGTCAGTGGCACTTGTCAGTTTGAAATCAAAATTACTGTAGGTGATGCCTATGGTAGGCGGTGTGGTGTTGATTTTCTGCCTAGGCCTAGGGCCTAGTTCTGCACAGCAGTATTACTGATTGTGAATAAAAACAGTTGCACTTTACAATCCGATCACATTGGTACCATGTCTTACAAATAATCCTTTCACATTTCCAAAACTCCACTCAGGAGTTTTTCAGACTCCTCTTGTGCTTTGTAGGGTTGGCATGTCTGTGTAATTAAAGAACTCCAGAGCATTCTGTATTGTATTCTGTATAAGTTCCTCATTGGTCTCCTTACAATGTGTCAAACAGTACCTAAGTATCCAGAAGCTTCCAAACATTACTCTTGGATTCGACATAGTGTCATGTATTCCTATACTTACCAATGTGGTTTGCACTGTTTGGCCGCCCTCTATTTCAAATTCTTGGATGCGCCACTGATATCGATATCTCGATATCGTATGGGGTGTCATGGTGCCAAAAAAGATTAAATGAAGTTGACATGGAAGTGGGTGATTCTGATTGGTTTATTTTTAAGATACCGTTATAAAATAATGTAAGTATATTACATGAATATAAAACAAAATAACATACACGAATATTACAGATTGATTCAGGGTCATTTACCGTAGTTCAAACTAGCTATACATTCAAAATTTACTGGCTTACCCCAGCGTGTTTTTTTTTCCCCCAATAAATTTAGCACTTTGAAATTAAGCGGGTGTGCTACTGTTATTTCTTGTAACCCCCCCCCCCCAAGTATTTCCAAATTTTAAACAAATTATAGAAGAAAAGAAAATTATACTCAGATTTTTAGTCTAAGAGTGCCATTTTCTGCCATCTAGAGGTGCCATAATCATAAAATTTCTTACCTCAGCCCAACTATTGTGGGACTGAGGTAATATAGACCCTCCATCTGTAAAAGTCCCTCTTCGGCCACCCTCTATTTCAAATTCTTGGATCCGCCACTAATATCGATATCTTAGGGGTGTCATGGTGCCAAAAAAGATTAAATGAAGTTGACATGGAAGTGGGTGATTCTGATTGGTTTATTTTAACAAAGCGTGATACTGAAGATTGTAATCATGTTGAAACTTGAATCTGAGCATTCCACTTTTAATAATGATAATGATGATGATGAACAAACATCAAAGGTTTTACTGTACATGTTCCCGATATTGTTTCATGATTCGAGTGCAATATTAATGACCAAATATTTGTTTGTTTTTTTTTTTAAATATTGAGCTTTCTATTATTTTATGTACAAGATAGATACGGCATATACACGATGATAATAATACTATGTATTAGCTTACAAACTTTTCCTAATAGCAGGCCTTAGCATCAGTGGCATAGGGGTCTTTAAATGGAATGGGAGCTGATGGGGGCGGAAAGGTGAAGTGGGGGATCGATGATTAGGTAAGGGGGGTGTTAACTCGCAAAATAAGGTGATTGAGGTGAATTTTATAACTACTTGAGCAAGATTTGGAGCCACTAGAGGAGAGGCAAGTATGCCCTCCCCTCGCACACCCTAGATACGCCACTGCCTAGCATACCCTGCACTTTACCCTACAGTCTGCCACTGCTGGTTTGATGATTAAGTTCATTACTCAAAAGGTGTTAAAATATAATTTCGGAATGAGTTTTCAGGCTGTTGAACTACTACTGTTATTTTGATACAATCAAAAAAGTGTCCCCATTATAGGGGGTTAAATGTATTGATTTGACCATTAGCCAGAAAGTGTCCCTGTCCCTTTAGTAGGGGTGTCTCCTTAATAGGGGTTGGCCGTAGTGTCAAAAGATATATTTCGCCTCGTTTCACAAAAGGTGAACTCTAAACAGAGAGGCGAACTACTTGCTAACGGGAATTTACACTAAATATTTTATAAGTACCAAAATATGTGTGGTTTCAAAAGTCGGAGGATGAAAACTGATGGTTTTTAGGAACTTCATATTACTATTATTATAGGAAAGAAATCGAAAAAGGAAGAGCAGGTGTATTTAAAGGACGTTAGAAACAGATGAAACAAATAAATGATAAAATAACATGTATTACATTAATATAAAACGTCAGCAATTATTAACATAATACATCATATTGATACATATGGCCTATGGAAAATATTGTATTATGATTATTTTTAATGCTATCAAATGATTAAAGAATTATAAAAACCATAGAATAATTTTGACAAATAAATACTGTATGTTAAAGATACGAAAAGTTTCACATATTTCAGAATTTAAGCCCCGGACATTAGTAAAGAAATACTTTTATGTCCAAAAATATTCAAATGACGTTGGAAACAGATGAAGAGAATAAATGATATAGTAACACGTATTACATTAATAAACAAAAACATCATTAGCAATTAAAAAAATAAATCATATAAATACACAGGCTACTTTCAGACTTGGATATAAGCCAGGCTTGAGTTAAGCCCGGCTCAACGTTAAGCCCGGCTTAACTTTGCCAGGCGTTCAGACTAGCGGGATTAGCCAGGAGGCGCGATCATTTGCATAATAATGAACCGTGACCAGGAAAGGTGTTTAAATTGTTTGCGAAACGTATGCTCGCTCACAGCGTACGTAATTGAATGCAGATTGGTCATAGTCAATGCAAGACCCCCCGCAACGATTAAAGTTCGGCTTAGAAAAGTTAAACACAGTGGCATGCCAGGCCTAGTTACTATTGGAACACAGCCTGGCTTGAAATAAGCCACCTACAGTAGTTAAGACTACCAGGTGGATAAACCCGGTGAGTTGAGCCAGGTTTATTCACCTAGTCTGAACTAGGCCACAGGCCTATGAAAAAGTACTGTATTATTATTATTATTGTTATTGTTATTGTTATTGTTGTTATTGTTATTAGAATTGTTATTATTATTATTGTTATTATTATTATTATTATTATTATTATTATTATTATTATTATTATTGTTATTATTATTATTATTATTGTTATTATTATTATTATTAT